TTTTCAGAAAATGTTATACTTAAATATACCAGCTTTATACAAAAATCGTACTTGAGACTTCTTCTTCATAGAAATACAGATGCTCGTAGTACATACACAATGCCTGATTCTGTGAAATTATGTACTAAGAAAATTTTTTTTACTGAGATACTCAACAGGCTTATCCTGAAACTGAACTAGATTAGTGCTGATGACTACTTGTCACTGGAAGCTACTTCGTATAGGTTATATATATTAGGTTTTAAGTGTGGGAGAGCCATACTTCGGCACGAATGGGCGGACTCGAGCGGCGTGACGGCCTTACAGAAAACCGACATGAAACAATAATTGCGTCCTGTGAGTGAGGTTACCCGACGCCCAGTTTTCTCAATCCTGAAGTCCCCGACAATCCGCAAAATGCCGGTAACGCACTTGTAACGCCTTCGGCGTTTCAGGTGTACCTACATGGATGGCGCCGATACTTACCATGCGATCCGTCTGCTCGTTTACTGGCTTATGCCATAAAAAGGGTTTAAAATTACAGTTTAAATTACAAAAAAAAAAAACGAAACGGAATTGCGGTCATCGTGTCTTGAACTTTTTCACTAAAATATCGAGTTTGGTTTCGTGTCCAGTATTTACAGAACAACCGTCCCTCATTATAACAAGACTAATAGCATAACCGCTCAAAAAAAAAGGTGAGCCAAAAATATCCCTGTCATTTTGCTTTTAATGTAACCCATCTTAATATCCTACTTGGATGGACCAACAAAATACTCTAATCGTGTCGTCCGCAAACAGATTACTGATACCAGTATATTCTAGTGTCCATAACAATCAAGTGAATTACTCAGTGACCTTCTCATAATGTAGAAAGGTTCTAAACAAACATTTAAATTTTAATCATGTTTATTTAGGACCCCATTTCTTGTTCAGTGTAAAATTAACGGGAATATGTTTGCTCTAGTAATAACAATATGTTAATTAATTGAACGATAAGCTTAATTTTATAGGCTTACACTTAATGAAGTGGGTTAACCGTTTTTTATTTTTGGGTTTTGTTTGAGATTGTTTGTAGGTCCAGGGTTATAAATAGAATTTTGTGGGTTTTAGAATCTGGTACAGTTCATTAATGAAATTACCTATTTGTTATACAATTATTTAGAAACTAGCTGTTGCCCGCGACTTCGTCCGCGCAGAATTTAGGCTTTTGAATTAGTCTTTATCAAGGGATATTCTACGGTAACGAATGTCGTCAGAATTGATTCAGTTCCTAGTATAGGATTCCTCCCCTGTAGATGATAGCGTGATAATACATATTATTATTATGTAGCCTATATGTTGACCCGACTTGTTAGTAATATTCATGCAAAATTTGAAGTAAATCCATGCAGTACTTTTTGAGATCATCTTGGACGTAGTACATACCGACAAACAGATAAAAAATCTAAAAACCTGATTTTTGGTTGCGGTATCGATTGTAGATCACACTCCACGTATTCTTTTTAAAACATATTCAATGTATAGTTTTGAATTTTCTATGATTTTATTGTTGTTTGAAATTTGTAATAAAACCAGCTGAGAATTTTTTTTTAAATTGTAATCTTTATTTCAAGCTCAGAGCTCATAAATGGTTAGTAACAATTTTCTTATACAACTAGTGTTAGTAAAACAAATTTGATCATCAATTACAATTACAATTATTATACAATCAGATTTCATTAAAAAACAAATGATAAATGTCATTGAAAAATAAAAATTTACGTAAAATTGAAATTGAATTAAACATACTTTTTAATCCCGATTATCCCTCTTACCTTCGTGAACGTTTTTCCTTTGCCCGCCCTCCTGAGGCTCTTTCCCGATCTCATCTTAAATCTAATCTTTCTGTTGTCTCACACAATACTGATTTTTACACCTATTCCTTCACTGTTCATGCAGTGCGACTTTGGAATTCCCTACCACCTAATATCCGTGATTCTAAATCCATCCCAATCTTTAAAAGACTCGTAAGGGAGCACTACCTTT